CAGTGCCCTAAGAGAAGGCAGATGATTAACCATTTCAGTCCAGCTCAGCAGCGGCCAGAGAGCTCTGCATACTTCCTGGTGTACTGAATCATGGACTCTAGAGGTCAGGGCACCTGGGCTCAAATTCAGAGCTTCGCTTGCTACCTATGTGACCTCAGGCAAATGACTGAACCTGTTTTAGCCTTCTCTTCAAGATGGAGATAATAGTAACACGTTTTCCTTCTGCTGTGGTTGCTAAGGATCCATAAAAACTCAATGTAAACATCTGGCAGAGTGTCTGGTTGGTAGTACATGCTCGTTAAGTCTTGCTGCTCACCACTACCGCTGTTATTATTGTTGATACTATCCCTAGGAATGAAAACGAGGCTTGTGAATTGTCAGTGTCTTCATTTCTCAGATAAAAGAGCTGAGGCTCAGAGAGATTCAGCAGCCAAAGGGACAGGACAGGATCAAACTCTGAGACAGGCAGAGTGAGCTGCTTTTTCAAGAGCAAACTCGCCTTTTCCACAGCCCCAGGCTCAGCACCCCTTCGGAGCCTCAGGCGCTTGGAGGAAAATGCAGGACTGACTACCGGCCAGTTCCAGGGCTACTAATCTTGCTGTGTTCAAGGGTCATTTCAGAAATTTTCTGAACTATGGTCTTTTGTCCTGGAACTATGCACATTCAAGATCAACTTAAACTTTAAAAGAAATCCATGCTCCCTGCCCCAGCACTTGTTTTATGTTAGATTCTCAGGTAGGAGAAAGGGCTAGAGTTAATGTTCCTGTCCATCATCCATCAGTCTGTCCATCCATCTTTGCTTCTATCCATTTGTCCTCCCATCCGGCCATCAGCCCATCCTTCTAGCCATCTATAGCACAAGTATTCATTAACAACCTGCTGGGTGCTAACACGGTCCTAGCAGTGCTTTTCCTCGCTGAGTGTCATTTAGCTGACCAGACTGCATAGTCATCCCTTGCATTTGATGGGGGAAGCAGTTCTAGGGCCCCCTCAGATACCCAAATCCTCAGATACCCAAGTCCTCATGCGAAGTGGCATAGAATTTGCATCTAACCTACACAACCTTTCAGGACACTTTAAATAACCTCTAGATCACTTATAATGCCTGGTACAATGTAAATGCTATGTAAGTGGTGTGATCAAAACATACGGCAGATGTTTAAAATTTTAAAACTTCATTACATTAAAAGACACATTGCTACGAATCGCCCCAAAATACTTCTCACTTCAAATACACTTACCTCATTGTTCTTGGCACTTTCTGAAGTAGTTCTGGAAGGCCTCTCTCCTGAGCATTCTTAGTTATGCTGCTCTGGCTGCCTTGATTACCTGAATCAATTCAAAAGTTGCCATTCGTGATCATCTGGACTTTGGGGGAGAGCTAGCAGTTGCACAGTGCCAGGTCCTGAGAATAAGGTGCACAAGGGCAGGGCGCATTTTTGCCACCCTGCGTTTCCCTTAGATGGTGCTCTGTACAGAATTTACCGTATTTTCAAAACTTCACACCGATAAAGACCTTCATGAAAGAGGACTTCCAGAACTACTTCAGAAAGCACCACGAAGGATGGGATAAGTATGCTGGAAGAGAGGAGTGGGGGAGGGGCGTTAGTAGCAACACGTCTTTCCCTGTAATAAAATTTTTTCTTTAAACATTCATTGGATACTTTGAGCATACCTCATAAATAGTCATGCTGTATAGTTTAGGGAATGGTGACAAGAAAAAAGTCTATACCGTACAGATGCGTATTTCCCACTCCTGTCGAATTCACGGATGTGTGCAGGCAAAAAGGGCCGTCGTGTTCTCAATTCCAGATAGGAAGTGGCGAGTGAGGGCGTGATGCCCGTTGGTAGGGGAGTCAGAAATGCGGTTGCTTCTGGCAGAAGCTTCCCACTGCTCAGCGCAGCACCAGCAGGGTGGAGATTGTGGGCTGGTGAGTCCAAGAGACCCACATGTACCCAGCGACAGGATATAGTGTGCTCTGTGCTACATCACACTCCCCTTTTATAGCTAAGCCCTTTCCACGACGCCAGGAACTAAACATTGTGATTGGCACACACTGAGGAACCAATTCACTTTTGTTGTGTTTTGTCTAGGTGCAGGGACTAGGCCACGTGCACGGTACTCTAGCGCGAAGCTGCACCCCCTGGCCCTGTGATTCGGCTTTCCTTTAGTTTTACAAACAATGCCTCTGGAGCAGGCAACAGAGTTTAAAGGCCGGGAAGAGTCACCCGAGGCGCCTGGGAACCAGGAGTTTTCAAAAAGTAGCTGCATTCGGAGGAGTGGAGAGGAGAGGGCTCCGCTCGCTCGCGAGAAAAGGCGACGTGTGTGGAGCAGCGGGTGCAGGGGCACAGCTCCCAGCGCAGGAAGTAAACGCCCGCCAGGTCCCAGTGGATGCCCCCGGGCGCCGTGGCCTGGCGGCTCGGCCGTCCAATCGGAGCGCGGCCGGAGGCCGAGGCTTAGCGATATTTAAATCAACGTGCGGGTCGGGACGGGCACCCGGCCACGCGCTGAGCTCGGTGGCGGTGGGTGGGTACGTTTAAGGGCCACCCCCACTCCGGCGTCTGTCTCTCTAGATCTTGGTCGGGAACAGAGGAGGCCGCAACAGGTCGCCAGCTGCCTGGGTTCGGCTCGCCTCCCGCAGCGCCCGGGTCCTGCAGCCCCGCGGTGAGTTCCACTCTGGCGGGCGGGGCGGCGGGCGGGCTCTCGGAAGCCGTCCCGGCGTCTCCGGACCGGTTTTTTAAATAATCGTGAGCGGGGTCCAGGTGATCCGGGTCCGGTAAGGAGAGGTGAGGGCGGCAGCCGGAGGAGAGCGGGCCCGCGGTGAGAAGCTGCGTGCGCGGACTGGGCTGGGGCCGTGCGCGCTCCTTTCTAGACGCTGAGAACTGGCAGTGCGGGCGGAGGAGTTCGCTGTGCGTCCTCCCTGACCCCGCAGGTGACCCGCGCCCGGACAGCCTCCTCAGGGCTGCAGGGAGACGGTAGTGGCCAGGTTGCCCGGCTGGCGAACGCGAGATTGGGGCAGTCGTGTAGGCGCGCAAACTTTTCCCGCTGCGTGGTGTCCCGCGCCGCAGTTCGTGGGCCAGACTTCCACGCTTCGGAGCAGAGCCGTGAGGGCTCGCCGAGTTCCGGGGCGCGAGCAGCGGCGACCCAGGGGAGGCTTGCCCGGGGTTGCGGGTTGGGGGGCGGGGAGATGGCTCGGGGGGCGCAGGGCGCGGAGCGCAGGGAGCGCCCAGGGCTGACCGCGCGAAGAGCCAAGCTGTGGTCTGCTAAGCCGAGCGCGCAGTGCAATTGACCTAGCAGGAGCAGGGTCTGGGGGCGCAAAGGGAAACTCCCCGTGGCGGGCGGGCGAGCGCACGCTCCCCTGGCTGGAAGGATCTCCGCTCCTTCTTTGGCCCGTCTGGTTGCCCAGCCTGGAGATCTGCTCCTCGGCCAGGATGGAGAGCCTGGTTTCCCCAGGCGCCCTGGGCGAGAGCGCGCCGACCGGACAACAAAGGGGAACGTGGGCAAAGAGCATCGCGGCTCTTCCCGGAAGAGTTGGGGCTCGGGATCAGTTTCTCCCTAGAGGGGTCAGAGTGGCGAGCAGGGGAGCAGACCTCCAGGTCCCCATCTCTCTAGTCAGAGGGCCCCAGTTGGTGCCCTGCCCGGGCCGAGGAGGAGGGTAAGTGGTCAAGTTGCTCCAGCAACTCCCTCCCCCAGGCGGTGGAGGACTCCCGAGGCTGCCGGCTTCCCGCGCCAGCCCGCCTGGCCGCCTGTTCTTTTGTGTCCCGCAGCTCGAGACAGGCTGCTGCTCAGGAGGGAGGCGGGCAGGAGGGACCCGGCCTGGCGCTGGACTAGGGGGAAAGGCGGGTAAGCATGTGTCCCAGTTTCCTGCAACTACGACGGGTTGCCCGGGAAGCCCCGGGAGCCCCGGGAGCCAGGCAGTGAGCCAAGGCAGTGATCGACCTTCCTCCTGGTATCGCGGGCTGGAGAAAAGTTCTCCGGGCTTTAGTGCAAGGCTGGCTGCTGACCCTTGTCAACCAAGCTCATGATTGGGGTCCCCTCACAGTGACACTCACTCGGAACTCTGTGGCAAAGAGTTGGATTTGAACCATATGACTTTTTTGTCAATCGAAGTTTTGGATATTGGCAGATTCATATAATTTAGCTTGATGATGTCGCTGATTTTTCCTTTCTCACACTTTTGTGAGTTTACCCATTCAATCCCCACGGAGCTGTCTTCTCTGTCAGGATGAGTGAGCCTTGGGGCTTGGTGGGGTGGTGGACAGCCAAGCCCCTTGGTCACTGGTAGCTCCCTCACCAGCCAGTCCCACGCAGAACCCTCACTTCGCAGATGATCAAAGCAGAGATTGCAAAATGGGAGAGGCTGTCACTGTCACAGAGATCATAAGTGGGACTGGAGACCCTGTCCTGTCTCAAAAGCTTGGGCTGCAGTCCACGTAGCAGTTCCCCTACGCTTAGTTTTATTTTCCTTAATATGCCACATTTTTGTCACGGATTTCCTTATGATGCCCATGCTGGACTATTTCTTTGTGTTCTAGCATACTGAAGTAAACTAGCACAATAAAGGCTGGGTTAAAAAATAACAAAACCTTAAATCAGCCATTGTGTTGTTGCTATTGTTTAAAATATGAAGGAAATGAGTTTCTAAGGGGACGAGTGTGACCTTTGGGATTTAAGGGTCAAAATGCTTTGTTAGAAACTGTATAAGGGGTCTCTGGGTGACTGCGGCACTTCCCGGAAGGATGGGTGCTGGGTGGCTTCTGGAAGTGGCAGGAAGCCTGGCTGCCCCCGATCAAGAAACTGGGACACGTGAGCCATGCCTGATTGGCGGGTAGATGTGACTGCTAGTGTAGAAGCTAGCTGTGGCTGCTGGCATTGCCACTGTCATTGCCAGAGTGACTCAGAAACTCCATCAGTGGGTGCTTCAGGGGCAGGTACAAGAGAAAGCATCTGATTGGCTGCCCCCCCCACGACTTAGGCAGGTGAGTGGCTGGCCTCACAATGGGGGGCAGGGCCACTTCCTGTGGGGCTCATAAAGAGTGGGCTCAGAAGTTAGGCAGTCATCCCCTCCCCTGAAGGACACCGTGGGTGACAAACATGTACTACAGAGAACCTTTGAAACAGGAAAGATGTTGAGAAGTTCCATCTAAAGAAAAGAAGAAAATGAAGCAACTCAGTCACCCTAATTTTAAACCAGTGTTTGCTGAAATGCGGTTCTCAGGGTTCCAGGCTCAGAATCACATGAGGTATCTGTTTAAAACTGACTTTCTTGGTCTCCTTTCTCCCCTTGAATTCACTGAAGCTGGAGTGAAAACCAGGAATCTGCACCTTACAAAGCAGGGAAAATAGTAAGATGAACTTATTGATTAGGGTCTGTTTAAGGTATTTGCCACTGAGAGAGCAGTTTCCAAAGTTTTCAAAGGCAAGCATCGCACTGGAAGGTGACTCCCACAGTGGTGGACCAGTTGTTCTGCTGTAGGTGAAGCCAGAGAACAGGTTGTCTGCTGCCTGGGTAGGAGGGAGCAGTCACTGGAGCCCTATAGGCAGGCAGGCCCCATCCTTCCAGAGGCTGTGAGTTGGCCCACAGGCAAATGCTTGGTTCTCTTTTGAAATAAAATGACTGCTTTTGTCAGTCCTCCTACCCCATTTTATTTCAACACTCCTATATTGTCTATTGTGTGTCAGGCCCTGAAGACACCCAGGCAAAAAAGTTAGGGTCACCACATAGCTGCTGATTTAGATCAGGTCAAAGCAACATGGTAAGGGCATCTTGGGAGCTTTTTACCTCACATCCATCACCTTACTGTCCTGCAGATGTGTCTGGGAAGCCTGAACGAAGTGTCCTTGGAAAGAGACATGAATTTCCAGCGGGTTTTCCATCATAAATGGCGGTTCTCAAACTTCAGCTGTCTTCTGATTATTTACCAGGGGAGCTTATATCTCAAAGTGCAGATCAACAACCCCATCCTAGAAATGGGTTTTGGTCCTCTGCATTTCAAGCACACACTTCATGATGGTCCTGAGAATTTCCTGGGTTTATTGTTGGGAGCTCCATCAGCTACTCTCAGTGGTTCTTGGGACCCAGTGGGGTTGTGCTAGTGAAGGAGGAATGTCAACTTGGTAGACTTTGGGATCCACCTAGGGGATTAGTAGAGCATACTTCTGGGTATATCTGGGTGAGTCATGGAGACCTAATCTTGGGATCTACCCTCTGCCTTTATCTTCTGGCTACCATGAATTAAACAGCTTTGCGCTGTGATGCCCTCCCACCATGATGTTTATGCCTTGGAGCCAGCCAGCCTTGAACTGAATCCCCTGAAATTATGAGCCAAATTAAATCTCTCCTCTTTTAAGTTGTGGGCCTCAGATATTGTGTTCAAGCAATGGGAAAGTCAGCTACGCAGGTGAGTACCCAGAACTTTCTTTTGGGCACAGCCATGAAAACCAAAATGAAAAAGTCCTCCAGTTTGAGTTGACTTTCCTCGGTTGTCTGGTGTTCTGAAACTGGTGAGATTTTAATAACTGTCTTGAAATTTACTTTCAAATGTAAGAGACACCTATACTTTGGGGGAGAATATAACGAAATCTGGACTCAGAACTCTAGTTGCTTTCTAAGGCTTGGTGCAGTGGTAAATGGGAGTGTCCAGTGCATGTGGGACTTCCCATCTGCATTTTCACCAAGGGAGTGTGCAGGTTTATTCATAGCTCTCCTGGGACAATTCTGAGCCTTTAATCCTTGCAGCAGCTGTGGTAGAGGCTTAGCTCCCTGCCTGTCCTTCAGAAGCAGCTAGCTAAGGTGTGAGGATGGCATGTGTACATGTGGGACATTCCAAAGGAGCCCTTTGGGGACTGTCACGAGGAGTGTGGTACACACAGGCTGTGATGTGGCCCCAATCTTGAGGCATGGGGTGAACAAGCTTGGTCCTGAAAATCACCTGGAGCTCTGAGCTGCCCGTGATTTTGCTAAAGGGTCATTGTTGGTGGCTGTTTGCAGAGATAACTGGGCATGATCTCAGAGGATGAAGCAAGGGCTGGGGTGTAGCTTGGGGATAGAGCACATGTGTAACCTGTGAGAGGGCCTGGGTGCTATCACCAGTACCACACATAGTAAGTGAAAGACTAGGCACTAAGGGATTAGGTATGGATCATGTATTTACTCAAATAACTCTAGAAATTATATTTCTCACTTGGAGCTTTCTTTGGCTTGGAATCTAGGTAGTGGATTCTCTGGCCCCTTGTAAAATGTGTCAGTTTTTGACCCCACCCCCTTCTTACAGTGTGTGTTGTAGGGGTACCCTTTCCTTATTTCGAAAGCTAAGGGTGTGTGTAATTTAGGAAATGCACCAGTGTGTTTCAGAATACTGGAACAGAGAAAGAAGAACCTGCACCCCTAATCTTTGGGGTTCTGTGCTGATTTGCTCACCCTCATAAAATGGCACAGGAAATCTGTTACTTTGTTTTTGCTGAATACAGACACTGACTGTGTGCCCTGCCATCTGTCAGGCCAGGGACAGACAGACAGCGGATGAGGTCCACCTTGGAGCTGAGCGCTCTGTCCTCTTTCCTCGGATGCTGGAGTGGCCTCTGCTGTTAGCATTCCTGTTTCTTGCTCCCTTTCGCAGGGTGGGTGGTGGTGGAGATGACTTTGGACAAATGCTTCTATCAGGATGATTTGGTGACTTTATTAGAAAGACAGATTCCAGTGTCACCTGTCTTAAACACTTTGGCCCTGACCTTGACACCTTTCTGGTTTGAGAGAAGGGGTGCTTGACCCTGAGATCAGGGAGCAAATAAGTAGGGTACAAGGTAGAGTAAGAGGTCTCCAAATTGGAGAGGACAACAGAAACTTGGAGAAAAAATAATCATGTGGCCCATTGTTAGGGCCCCGGGAGCCCTCCTTTGAGGCTGAATGGGTGACTATAGGGGCAGTGTCTTGGGGTCATGCTTACAGCTTTTGTTCTGAGGACAAACTCCTGGGTTTAAATTCTCGTTCCACCAGTAATCATCTGTGACTTTGGGCAAAACTGTGCATCAGTTCACTGATCTGTAATTGGGATAATGCCTGAGAAGCATGACAGTGCCTGGGACATAGTACATGCTCAGTCAATACTAATTTCCAAGACTGCATGGCCCTCTGTCACTAGCTGGTGTTTCTCAGATTCCAACAGAGATCTGGATCTGCGTCTGATCTCTCCCCAGGTAGGACTTTCTCTGCATCTGGCTTGCATGCTAGCCCTTCCCCTGCAGGCTGTGTGTATCCACACCCGGATTAGGTGGGAGGGCTTCCTCTAAAGCTGTGCCCTCTTCCGAGCAGTCCAGGTGCAAGCAGGTCACTTGCATTAGTGACTCCTCTGTCATTTCTCTCCCTGCCAGGAACGGTGCCTGGAGTGAATGAGCCCCGTGGAGAACACTCTTCTGCATCTTTTGAAGAAAGCCAGCCCTGCCCAGAGGCACAGAACACCGCACAGCCTGGCCCAGGGGGTGTCTTCTGCACAGGAAGGTACCTGTGTTCCCTGAGGCTTCCGGAAGCTACCTCATGCTTGGGAGATCGCACTAGCCATGGCCCTTACGCTCAGCGTCCTGCTGCTGCTGCTGCTGCTGGCGCTGGGCAGGAGCACCGACTCAGGAGAGCAACCTGCACCCACAGACAGCCCCATGCATCTGCATTATGAACTGCCTCCAGTGACATATGAGACCCCAGCCTCCTACTCAGCCGGGCCCATCTCCATTCTCTTCCAAATGGTGCACCTCTTTGTCCACGTGGTCCAGCCCAACAGCTTCCCTGAAGGTATGTGTGGGCTGCAGGGACAGAGGGGACCATCTTCACACACCCACAGATCATTTCTTAGTGACACTGCCATCCATATAAAATACACCTCAGATCTTACAGGATGAGGTTCAAAATGACTGATGTGCATGGTGATGGAAAATATTTAGGCAGAAGTTACGAAGCCGGGTACCATATTAATTCATGCGGCGGCAATGTGATTCTGAGAAAAGCAATCCAGCTGTGTTGCTCTGTGGGTTTTCTAGTTCCTTATCTTTGCTTTGTTTTGTTTGGGTCAAGTCAATGGATTGTTCTAAAGCACATACCAAACGAAGGGTAAAACTGAAAGTTCTCTGTTGTGGAATGAAATATTAACTGCCTGGCACCTGCTGGTCAAGCTGGTGCTTAGAAGTTTAACTCCCCTCCTTTGTCCACTACAAGATGGGTATGGTAGCGGCAGGCCTGTCTAAACCTATTTACCTGATTAACTGCTTTGGTTCTAAGAGTTTGGGTGTAAGGAATGGAGCAATGTCTGCTTCCCGGAATTTGACGGTGTGGTGCTGTTATTCTGTATATACGGTACTGTTTCCTGCCTTGGCCTTCTTACCCTTCATTTCCTAACCAGTGGAACTCAGAGGCTTCTGGGGGGTGTGACCCCAGAAACAGGACTGTGGGAAGGAAAATGTTCGTGGGAAGTGGCTGCTTCTAGGGATTGGCAGACTGAATGCTTGATTGGCTCAATATTAGATCTAGTCTAAGCTTGTCTCTTTAAATCTAATTTTTATTTTTAGTAGTGCATGTTTGTAGTACATAATGATTGCAGGCACGGCAGGGGGGTGGTTAGTGCATGTACACAGCACATCCTAATTCTTTTTCGTCCCTTACCCCTCCCGGCCCTCCCTGCTCCTTCCATCTCTCGGTTCCCTTCCCATTTGCAAGAGCTCTGTGTCCACCCTTTTCCAAATCTTTTCTTTTTATCCATTTTCCCTTACCTCTCTCTCCTCTTTTTCCATCTCTTGTTCCCCTTCTCATTTGAAAAAGATCTACTTCCTATTATCTTTTATTTTGCTCTTTATTCATATAGTATTTTGGGTTTTTCATAAGAGAAACCATACAATATTTAAGCTTCTGTGTCTGATTTATTTCAGTTACTATTATGGTCTCAAGGTTCATCCATTTACTTACGAATGACTCGAAAGTTTATCCTTATTTATGGCAGAGTGGTGCTGCATTGTGTACAAATGCCACAAGCACACCCCTGTTTATAGCAGCACAGTCCATAATATCTAAATCTTGGTAATAGCCTACAAGCCCATCTACAGGACAATGCATAGGCTTGTCTTTAATCTACAGAGATCTGAATACATTCATTGACTATAAAATTTACAGCAGACTTTTTTTTATCATTTTCTTTGTGTGGTCAACTATTCACCAGGGGGGAGAGAGAGAGCGAGCGAGAGCGAGCTGTGTTTAGTAAGCCTTATTACTTGTTTGTGTGTCAAGGGGAGTTTATAGGATTTTATTTAAATGCATTTTTCTGAATTTTTTATGTCTACTTATCTTAGTTCATTAGAAACAGTTGAAATATAGTTGTCAATTTTTGTTAGTTTAAATGTCAATTCAGAGAAGTCAGTCTGAGCCCTTATTATCATTGGCGAGTATCCTAAACTAATAATGCTGTCTGTTGTTTATACCACTGTTCAAAAGACTAAATTCTGAAATCCAAAAGACAAAAAATAAAATCATCAGAGTTTATTAACACTGACTCCACATTCACTGTTCTGAATAGCTATCTCTTAGTTTATTTGTATGAGTACATTTTATTAATATGAGTATTATTGTATAAACAACTACTAGTTTTTCTAGATTTTGCAGCTCCTTTATTTAGATATGAACAAAGCAAAGAATCAGTTTCTTAATGTGAATTTACAGTGGCTTCTTCAGTAAGGTTGAGAACCTTCCAAGTCTGAGTCTAAGGCAAATAATGCATTAGTTAATCTTATAATCTCTTTCCATATGGTGCTCTATTTTTACCCCTTTAGATTTCATGGGAAGGCTTTCTCATACTTCATAAGGGGAGTATTTAAAGTCTTCATTCAAATGCCAGGTGAGAAGATATCCTTTAGCTTTTTTCTTTCTTTTTTTTTTGTACCAGGAATCGAACTCAAGACCTTGTGCTTTCCAGGCAGGTACTTATGCCATTGAGCTATATTCCCAACCCTCCTTTAGCTTTATACAAAACTTGCACTCTAAAGTTTTGAACTACAACAACATTGTCAGTCTAGAAGGAAATGTCTGAAGAATTTAAATCCAGGCTTACTCTGAGGGTGTCAGCCTGGTTTGTGCCATGATCTTCATCCATACTGATTACCTCGGAACAAAAAGTTCCCAGCAGTTGCAGGTGTAGGCCAGCATTACAGCTTTGGGAGAAAACAATTGGCCTACTAAAGAATATCGTGTAGAACTTAACAGACCACATCTAGGTCTCTTGGTTTTCTTCCCCCTCATTTTTATATTCTTTGAACTATGTTACCAGATTTGATAATAGTCTCAATGTGTGCCCTGGGTGCTTTGTAGAACAAAAAATATATATGGAACAGTCCTGAGTTTTTACATTTTGGGGCCATGAATTATATAGGTACCAGATCATGGCTCGATATCTTCATAAGTAAAGATTCAAGAAGCAAAGAGGAGGAAAGAGAAAGGGATTCCTATTGTTTACGTTTTAATGTAGTTAACTTCACACATTAATCAGCATGGAAGGCTGCAGAGCAAACATCCCATGAGTGTGTTTTTCATTTAAAAGAGTAGATATCTTTGAATGCCAAGTTCCAGAGGAGGTACAGGACTGTAAGAGACCAGACTCCCTCTTTTTTTGCCATTGGACTGGGAAATCTTTCACTTTTATGTGCTGTGTTCAACCAAAATAGTTTAACCAAGTGTATCAACCAGCTTTCCCTCCGCTGGGACACAATACTTGATGCCCACAACTTGAGGGAGGAGTGGTTTAATTTGGCTCACGGTCAAGAGACTCAGTCCATGTTCGACTGGCTCCAAGGCAGAAACATCGTGACGAGACAGTACAGGAGCGCAAAGGCAGTTTGTGGGAGCCAGGAAGCAGCACAGAACAGTGACTTTGTGAAGGATCAGCGACTGGTTTACTAACCCTAACCCAGTCAACTACACAGGAAGTTTTGCATTTGAAACTCTAAGAGAAGCCCATGTTGTGTCCTGAAGGAATAAGAGAGGGAAAGGCCTTATATAGCAGGGACTTGAGACACAGCTCTACTTCTTGGGCAGAAAAGAATAGATTAGACTGGACTAAGGCACACAGTAGGTGGGGGATGTAGCTCAGAGGCACAGTGCCTGCCTGGCAAGTACAAGGTCGTGAGTTCAATTCTAGGGACAGAAAAAAAAAAAAAAAAAAAAAAAAAAAAGGAACACAGTAACCATGGGACCTGGGCGAGTCGGTTTCAGGGCTTGGAGAGTGTGTGTTTTATAGACGTCAGGCTGGCCTGTGGCATAGGACTGGGACGGGCTGCTAGGTTTATGCTCACCAAGAAGAGCAATATACCATACCTTGGAAAGAACTGTTGGGATTCTTTGCTCATTCTTTCAAAAAGAAAAGCAGAATAGCGAGGGGAGTGGAGGAAAGGGCCTTTGAGGGGGAAGGAAAGGGATATCTATGGACTGGAAGAGATGATGGTTCCAATACAAGGATTGCCCCTCCAGGTTACAAAATACCCTGGACTGGTGGCTAAAACAATGGGCCTTTATTTCTCATGGTTCTGGAGGCTGGGAGGCTAGGAGCAAGGTGCTGGCAGGTTTGGTTTCTGGTGAGGGCTGACATCTGGTTTGTAAACAGTTACCTTCTTGCTGTGTGCTCACCTGGCCTTTCTTCAGTGTGTTCCTGGAGAGACAGAGGGAGAGAGAGAGAAGGGAACGAGGAAGGGAGGGAGGGAAAGAGAAAGAGCGACTGTCTCCTTCTCTTTCACCGATCCCAAACGGCACTAATCACTTAGCAAGGGCCCCACTCTCATGCCTCATCTGAATCTAACTCTCTCCCCATCTCAATCTCAAATATCATCACATGGGAGCTCACAGTTTTGACACAGGAACTTGAGTGGAGCACAGCCATTCAGCCCCTAACTGAAGCTGAGGTGGAATTAACTGGCCAAGGTTGGGGAGAGCCAGAGCCAGAGCCGGAACTGGAGAGCAGGAGGGCAGGCAGCATTCATGGAGAAGTCCCTGCTTCCTGGGAACCCTTGCTGAGTGCTGGGATCCAGGTGTAAGGGGAATTGGGTTTTAGGAGCACACTGGCTGACAGCAGCAGGGGAGACAAGTTACAAGACACAGAGACACCAGCAGTAGCCCAGAAAGTGAAGAACTTAGACGGAAGCAGAATTTGAAGGCAAAAGGGCTGCAGTATCCATTCTCTGTCCACAGAACTAGATGTAAATCTGGGCTCTTGCTTTTCTCTGCTGGGTGACCTTGGCCAAGTTCTTCCACTTCCAGGCCCCCTTCTCCGTCCATGTAGGATGACTGTCATCACAGCCCTCTTTGTAGCTTTTGTCCATGATGCCTACATGCGGTGATGAAGGTAGAGCCTAGGTTTCAGACTGTGCTTTAAAAGCATGGAAAAACCCTCAGTCACTGTAGTTATCATTAATTTTATTATGGAGGAAAGTTGACCAAATGTGGTACTGAGACTGGTGTAGGGTGGGGACACAGGAAGGATCATGAAAATGACCTTGCTGCTGCTCCCACAGCATGTTCTACACTGGAGCTTCACTGCTTCTGGGGGTAAGGGGGCCATATCTTGATGGCAGGACGCACGGCAGCACAGTAGGCTCTAAAGTCAGGCTCAGCATGATGCTCATCTTCTGGGCTTCGTTCTTCTCCACTTCTTTGCTGCTTCCTGCCCTCCCAGTATCTGCAGCGAGATGGCTTTGCTGGCTGTGTGTTAGTCATTGTGTTCTCCTAACACTTTGAGAGTTGGCTGATGCAGGTAACTGGAGGTA